CGGTTCCGACTCGATGGCACCTGACAACAACAACAACAACAACAACTCCACTTTTGTTTTTCCTTCTCATTTAACATTCCCCTCCCCTTTTTCTCTTTCTTTATTAATCTCTTATCTATTTTTGTCTTCCCTGTCCCTGGGTTTTCTAATTGTTTTTTATTTCATCTTTTTAAGTATTCTTTTTCTCTGGTTACTGCCTGTTTTTATTTATTTTTTCTCTTTTTATTGTCGGTTCCTTGTTTGTTTATTCTGTTTTGTTTCCTTGTGTGTGTTTAGGGGGCTTCTTTATCTCACTGATGGAAGACAACTTTGCCTAGATATCCCAGCAACAACTGTACCCTCTGCAGCTCCACCCACTAGGCAGGAATCAACACTAGATCCTATACCACCTGATCAGTGATAGGTATCAGCCACACCAGCCAAACCCTCCCTAAATTGAGGTGCACAGACGGCAAATGAGAATAGTGCACACACGTCCATTCTGTCACTACGCCCACAGGGACAGTTGGTGAGAGCCTAAGAACACATCAACATATAATTCGGCTAAACACTAATACAGCAACCCAGAAGTGCCCCATAAACAACAGACCATTTTAGCTCACATGAAAAAACGAAAGAATGGCTCAAACAAATGACCAAGATGCAGAGCCAAGAAAAATTTCTGACAAAGTAAAGGTAATGGAACTAACTGATAGAGAATTCAAAATTATATTTTGGTACTTTCAAAGAACTGACAGAAAGCTTGAGGAAAACAGAAAAACTGAAGAATTCAGGAAAACAGTACAAGAACCAACAGACAAATTAAATGCAAATTTGAAACAATACAAAACTTGCAGTTAGAAATTCAGAAGAGCAGTGCTAAGATTTCAGAAATGGACAGTACATTGAAAGGACAAAGGAGTAGACTTGAAGCAATGGAAGCCTGAATTAATGAGCTTGAAGATAAATCTGTCAATGCTGGCATGCTAGAAGAACAATCAAATAAAAGAGTGAAAAAATCCAAAGAAAGCTTAAGAGTTATGTGGGATACTATGCAGAGGAACAACTTATGGGTGATTGGAATTCCAGAACAGGAAGGAACAATAAAAAGCACAATGGAGATTGTCAAAGAGTTGTTGGAAGAAAATGAAAGACAGGAAGATAAACATAAAAGATGCTGAACGAACTCCCAATAGGATAAATCCAAAAAGAAAATCACCAAGACATATCATAATCAAAGTTTCTAAAAACAAAGGCAAGGGAAAGAATCCTGAGAGCAGCTTGGAAAAATCAAAGTTACCTACAGAGAAACCCAATAAGACTAAGCTCTGAATTCTTAGCTGAAATTACACAGGCAAAGAAGGCAATCGGATGGCATATACAAAATTCTGAAAGAAATAATTACCAAATGAGTGTATATATTATATACCCTCAGATACGATGGCAGAATTAGGACATTTCCAGATAAACAAAAATTAAAGGAATTTGTAATGACCAGACCAAGTTTTTCTTTGAACTGAGAACCAATAACAGCAGACAACAACCTAAGATTACCATACATGACAGCACCACCCAGAACTCATATATATCCAGATATAGAGAAGTATTTCAATTAAAACAAGCCTGTTGTTGTTTTAAGTGCCGTCAAATTGGTTCTGACCCATAGCAACTGAGGATAAGCCTACAAGACTAAAAATAGGAAATTCAGAGATATTATTGTATAATGAAGTAAAGTACAAAGCATAGTAATAGTATAGATACAGAACTTTCAAATGGCAAGAAAGTTGGGTAGATTTCAAGACAAACTGACTTTTAAATAGGGGAAACAATAAATTCCAGGGTAACCTCAAAGAAAATTAATACACTTATAACTCAAAAATAAAAAAGGAGGAAAACCAGAAAGACTTAGTGTAAACATTATCATAACAGACACGAAAATGAAAAGAAAATCCACAAATAAAATTAACTCGGCACAGAAATTTATATGGAACAAAGAAACCAGCAGTATCACAAAATACCCACAGCAGATTAACAACAGTGTTGAGTGCCATCAAGTCAATTCTGACTCATAGCAACCCTGTATAGAGTTTCCAAGGAGTGGCTGATGAGTTTAAATGCTGACCTTGTGGTACAAACCCACCTTGTGGTCCAGCGTTATCCCACAGCGACACACCAGGATGCCAATCAGTTCATACCTATTGATAATTACACTGAATGTAAATGGATTAGATGTACTGTCAACAAGAGATGCATCAGAAAGATGGGGAGACAGCGTAAATGTGCATCAACAGAAGAATGGTTAAACAAACTTTGGTATATACATACAATGGAATATTGCGAAATTCTGAAGAATAACCATGAATTTGCAAAACACCTCACAACCTGGTTGAACCTGCAAGATGTGCTGACTGAAATTAGGTAATCACAAAAGGACAACTATTGTATGAATCCAATGTTGTTCAACATTAAGGAAAGGTTTTCTTGCTAAAAGAAACGTTCTGTGATAGTTATGGGTGGGGTGGGGGGAATTATTCATGGGTTAGAGGGGGGACAGACACATATTAACTTTGGTGATGGGTAATACACAATAAGAAGGAGGTTGGCAGAGGAAAGATTGTGGTAGTCGCAGGAGACTTAGGGAGGAGTGCAATAGTTAAAGTGAATAGAGGTAAATGCTGTTAACTGGTGTAACCATGTAATGAAACAAAGTGTATAATTTGATGAATGCAGAACTGGTGATCTGCTCTGTAAACCTTCACCCAGTTCTTAAGAAAAAGTTTTAAAAAAGGAAACCCTATACCCATACCCAGTCTCAACGCCCCCAAGTCCCTTCTTCCCTGGATGCTCCAGCCCCCTAACAACTATGATTCTACTTTTCTGTCTCTAGATTGGCTCACTGTGAACTTTCTTATAACTGGAGTCATATAATATGTACTCTATAACTATACTGAACACAAGGGGCCCCGATGGCTCTGTGGGTTAAGCATTAGACTATTAACAGAAAGGTCAGCGGTTTGAATCCACCATCCACTCCTTGGGAGAAAGATACGGCAGTCTGCTTTTGTAAAGATTGACAGCCAGAAACCCTGTAGGGCTAGTCTGCCCCATAGGGCTGCTCTGAGTGGGAATCGACTCAGTGGCAGTGAGTTTGGGATCAGTGTTTCTTTCATTTTTGTGACCAGATGATGTTTCATTGTGTGGTGATACCACATTTAGTTCATTCATTCATCAGTGGATAGATATTTGAGGGTTATTTTCACCTTCTTGGCTGTTACCAATAATGCTGCTATAAATATTCATGTTCATGATTTTTCTGTGGATATATACTCTATGTTGTTGTTGTGTTATTGCCATTGAGTCAACCCATAGCAACCCTGTATAGGATTTCCAAGGAGTAACTGGTGAGCTTGAACCTTCAACCTCACGCCTCACGGTTCAAAGTGACTTTGCAGTTCAGTGTATTAGTCCACAAGACTCCAATTCCATTATATATAATAATATAAAAAAATATATATATATATAAAACATATATGTATACATGTTGTTGTTAAGTGCTGTGGAGTTGGTTCTAACCCATAGTGACCCTGTGTTGGGTTTCCAAGGAATGGCTGGTGTTTTTGGAGTTCCGACCTTGCAGTTAGCAGTCCAGTGCTTATCTTACAGTGCCAAACAGTACCATCTCTCACCCCTTCTCTCCCACACCAGAACTCCACATGCCTCTACCTAAAAACCCTCCATGGGGTGGTTTGCATTCCCATCAAGAAGCTTGACTTAAAGGGTTTCACTTCAGTGCTACTTATCGTGGGTGCCTCGATCATTGTGTAGTATTCCTCAGTTGCTTGTTGGTTACTAACTGGAGAGTCCTGCGGTGACGCGGTAGGATAAGTACTGGACTGCTAACAGTAAGGGCGGCAGCGGTTCAGACTCACCCAGCTGCTCCTGGGAAACCGTATACATAATCACTATGAGTTGGAACTGACTTGATGGCACTTAACAACAACAACTAGAGAGTTCAGAAGTTAACAAGGAATTTAAAATAAACTCCTAACAAATATTAAATAAAAGCTGAGAAGTAATGTTTTGTAGATCTTACTGATGTTTTCATATTTCCCAGAATGTAAAAATAACATTACACAGTCATTCTATCATACTGTACTTGTCATCTAAAGATCGCTGCTGTGTGTCCTGTTTGTGCATTGCGAGTCTGCATATTGAATGGTCACATTAAATATGCTCATGAAAAGTGATTGCTGTCACATGGCTCTTTCTTCCATCTCCCACAGGTATGGCAGATCCCAGAAAATGGACTCACCCTGTCCCTGACGGAACCTGTGGTGATTTTAGAAGGCCACTCGAAGAGAGTGGGCATCGTGGCCTGGCATCCGACCGCTCGTAACGTGCTTCTCAGCGCAGGTAGGAGCCGAGTCTGCCACGAAGGGTGGCCCCCCACTTTTCCCGTCTGCACCAGGGGAGCAGCAGATACATCGTAATCTTGGCCACTGTATGTATAAGGCTTGAAACAGATCATCAGGAAACCACAGTGAGGTGCAGTGCTTCCCCAGCCCAAACGCACATACATGTGTGTATGTTTTTTTGTGAATTGTGTGATAGTTCATATGGGAGAACATCAATTTTACACTGATTGTTTCATTGTAATGATTACAATCCCTTCTGTATACCATCATTCAACAGTATTTGCTTCTATTCTCTCTGTTGTTTTTTTGGGGGGTGAGGGGTAATGTACACCCAGACACTCAGGAATATATACTCATTTAAACAACCAAAGAGCCCATGGCTGCCAGCACACGTCTTTCTCTTTCCCTGAGCATGTGTGTATGTTTTATAAATCATTTTGACAATCTAGCAGAACCATGGCCTTCCTGCTTAGGAAAATGCTAGGATACATACATACTTTATCCCTATAATGTCAGCAGGGCGGTGGTTCCTTCTGGGACCCTCCAGGACCACAGTTTCCAGTATTCCTGATGTACTAGAAGGAATGCTTGGTTGGGAGCCAGAAGCTCTGGTTCTGACCCTAGTTGCTATCAACTTTGCTTTTAATAAAGTAGTTACATTTTTCTTCTTATACATTCAGTACATGTATTTATACAGAATGCATATAACCAAAAAGAATAAATTAAAATCAGTTGTGTTCCCACCACCCGGAGAGAGCATTGCTATTACCATTCTGATGTCTCTTTCTGGAAGATATTTATAGATGTAAATTTTTTGTACATACAGATAGGGGTTTGTACACTTTACACAGAAACCTGGTTTTTGCACTTCTTGGAAGACTGTTATCGCTTTCACAGGCCATTTAATGTCCTTCTTGCAATATTTTTAATGACTGGATAAACCTTAGCTTATTAATCAGTTCTGTAGTTTCGGGCATGGAGGGGGGTTGATTTCTGATGTTTCATGGTTCTAATGGGCATGGCTGTGAACCTGCCTGGCTAAGTCCTACTATTCTTACTGGTTTCCCACTGGATTCCTCCTCCTACACACACACACACACACTCTCTCTCTTTTATCTCATAACAATCTTTTCCTTTGTCTAGAATTTAAGATGCGCCTTTTCTTTCTAAAAGCAGTACAGAGGGGCCACAGGGAACTTTGTGGGATGGTGGGAATGTTCTGTCTGTTGGTTGTGGTGGTGGTTGCATAAGTAGATAGATTTGTCAGAATTTGTCAAATGTATATACTCAATATGGAACATAGTAGAATTTAAAAAAAAATTTTAAAAACTGAAAGGGGGAAAGAGCCAGTCAGTGCTTAACTGGGAATAAGGAACGTTTTTCTGATTTATAGTCATGTAAATAAAAAATGAATGTCGGCTACTGATTGAAGCCAAAGACGTTCAAAAAATCACACTATACCTACTTCTGGGTTTTTAAAATCCCTAATCCTGGGAACCCTTCCCAGATCCTTAGTCTGATAAGGAGAGAGATTACAGAAGTAGAATTGCATCATGGAAAATCTCCTGCCACCCCTGTCTCCTGTGCTAGCCCTAAGCACCTCTAGCAGGGTGGTCTCCATTCTGCCTTTTACAAGCACAGGACAAGAGTTGGTTGCAGAACACTGTGATCCAGCCCCGTGACTGAAGGGACCTGTTTGCCTACGATGACCAAGGCAGAGGAAGAGTCTCCATCCCAGACTTGTACTCCAACTTTTCAGACTGTTGTATAGTTTCTTCTCCACTTGGCTACTTCCAGCCCTTAGGTACTGGGGTAAAGAGTTTACAAAATTGTCTTCTTGGCAAGACTTCATCTCCAGAAAGCCCTGTTCTTCTTATGTTTTGTCCTTAAATGAATGTTCTGAAGCAGCAAAAGATGACTTCTTTTTTAAAAAAGAAGCCTAGAGGCTTGTGGGCAAACAGTTAATAGGCTCCCTGCTAACCAAAAAGTTGGTAGTTGGTGTCCAACCAGAGACACTTCAGGAGAAAGGTCTGGCAACCCACTGCTGAAAATCAGCCATTGAACCCTGTAGAGCACAGCTCTACTCGTAACGCATAGGGGCCACCATGAGTCAGGGTCACCTTGCTTTGGGGGTGCAGGGGGGTGGACGCTTGAAGGGTGGACCCAGGGGTGGCGGGAGCTGAATTTATGTTGTGGGTCTGTTTCTGAATTCACACTTCTATTTCATTACAATTTGGGGTTCTCACCACCAACAGGCCAGTCTGTTGTGAATGAATTTAGGGGCCAGTCCTTGTATTTCCCTTGTGTTTATTATAATTAACTACATTTGAATCTGAATAACCTGCCATGCAAAGTTTTTGTGTAGCATCCAAACCGTTACTTACAGAGTTGCTTGTTTTACTAGACAGCGAAGCCTGTGATCAGAGCCATATCCTCCGTTGTAGCTTTCTCAAGCTAACTGTTCTCCTTGTTTCTAGGCTGTGATAATGTCATCATCATCTGGAATGTGGGGACCGGGGAAGCACTCATCAACTTGGATGATATGCACTCAGACATGATTTATAACGTCAGCTGGAACCGGAACGGCAGCCTGATCTGCACAGCTTCCAAAGACAAGAAAGTCAGAGTCATCGACCCCAGGAAACAGGAGATTGTGGCTGTAAGTACTCTGAGGCCAAAACCCCCCACATCTGTAGCACAGTCGTGGGTGGGGACCTTCTGCCCTGGCAGGCAGTGACTGGGCATTTGCTCCATGGCCTTGCAGTGTACAGATACCAAACTGAAAAAGAAAAGGCTTGTTCCACGCCTGCCTTCCTTCAGAGTTGCACGCTTCCAGCTTTTACTGAAGTCTCATCTCACGCTTTGTTCACAAAGAAAAAAGTTATTCATCAGTTCACTGGAACACCAAAGAATTTGCAAGTCTGTATCATTTAAGCCAACTAATTGCTTTCCTGGGATCATGGTTTAGTACTGAGTAACTGTTCATTGATTCCCTGCCCTGCTTCAACAATGATTGCGAAAGGGCCTTAAAACAATGCGGTAGGTTCCAAACAATAGCTTACGTAGTAGTAAAGAATGTCTATTTACGAGTGATCTTAGTGGGGTCCAATGGCAGTGAATTTATGTACTGTTGGAGGAGAAACTACTCAGAAAGAGAGGTGAGAATGGTAGCACAAATTGAAGACTGGAATTCAGCATGCATATAGAAATTGTTGAGTTGGTGTGTGTTCTGCTGTGTGTACTCTCAACAGCAACAAAAAAGAGAATACTTTTTTTTTTTTAAACTATGCAACCAGTTTCCTCATCAACTCAGTAGGGCCATTTGTGCCACTCAAGCTGGGCCTCCATCAAATACACATGATGACAGAATAAGGATATCAGGGTATCTAGTTGGGGTGCAAACTGCCAGTGCTGAATTGAAGACTGCCTCTCTCAGACACCCTGCAGTTAGATTGATCCTGTGTAAAATGCACTGGTCTTCTGCGTGGCAGGGCCGGTGATGGCTGTGCATATTGATCCCAGGGCTTCCCTACAGTCTCCTGGCCTCCACTAGCAACCTTCCAAGGGGAGCTCCTACTACCTGCTCCTCTTTATCTCCGAGGAGATGGGCAGATGGCGCAGGATGTTATATCAAATCCAGCCTTCAGGCTGTTGGCTGCTGAAGAAATGGACTGTTGGGCAAAACCTTCCATGTGTCTTGTCTTCACAGCACACGGACTTGGAGTCCGGTCCTGGTACTCTTGCTCATGAACTTGTTGACGGGCCAGGAGCAGATTTCTTTTAGTGTCTCTTGGGTTCCTCATCTCTGAAGGGGGCCAAGGAGTTAACACTGACCCTCCCTGAGGATATGAATAGCCCGGGAGATATAGTTGGGTTAAGTGTATGAGTTTTCCTCTGCCAAAACCTTGTAGCAACCATGTCTGACTCCCCTTGTGAAAGGAAATAAAACTAAAAAATCAACCCAAGGCCAGTTCCTATGAAGTGTAGGTCAGACATGCTGCCACCCTTTTCTTACACCAACCATTCCTCCACAGCACTCTCTGCTTCTCATCTGGGTTTGATAATCCATTGCAGTGGCTGCACAGAACTCCTAACAATACTCACGATACGGGGTTTATTAGGGAAATGCACAGGGTACAGATAGGATCAAAACTCAGGATACAGCAGTTCTGCAGCAACGAACGCCTCTTGTCTGCCATACTGCAGGCATGCCTCACTCTTGTCTTCAGCCTCTCAGCCATGTGGTCCCTTGGCCTCTGCCCTACTCCAGCAAGTACTACAAAGCGCTTTTAGCCAGTCTGTGAGTGCCCGAAAGGCACATTCTTTAAGCCAGTCTCCTCCCCATGGGCAGTCAGCCTTACTCAGTCCATGGGCCTGGAGTCCACAGCTGCTCTGTCGCTCCACGTCACCACCTCTGCTGTTGCCTCTACTGTCACTGCTCTTCTAGGTAGGAATCTCACTCTTCACTCATGCTCTTCCTTCTTGATGGTCCTGGAGTCTTCTGTTACTGCCTCTGACATGGCTTCTTTTAAACCATGGCAAAACTAACCAATCCCAGCCTTGGAGTCCTATATCCCTTATTTGCATGGTCCTACCCAGTCACTTTGTGGGAATTAAAACATTGGATAGAAAAGCCATATCAAGTAAATTCAAGGTACCATATCCCTCCTTGGTTTTCCTTCTTGCAATTTGTATGTAGCTAACATGCCTGTTTGCACTCTCTCCCAGGAGAAGGAGAAAGCCCACGAAGGAGCAAGGCCCATGCGCGCCATCTTTCTGGCTGATGGGAATGTCTTCACCACTGGTTTCAGTCGCATGAGTGAGCGACAGCTTGCTCTCTGGAATCCGGTATGTCCCACCCAGCCTTTTCTTTTCTGAGTAGGTTGGTAAGTGGATGATAGGAACCCTATGTGTACAGTGGTAAGCCCGTGGCTGCTAACCAAAAGGTTGGCAGTTCAAACCCATCCTTCCTCCTGTGACAGATGGATTCTTAAATATTTAAAATAGAAAAAAACCTGTTGCCCTTAAGTTGATTCATAGTGACTTTGCAGCTGCCCCATAGGGTTTCCAAAACTATAAACCTTGACAGAGACAGACTGCCACATCTTATCCCTGCAGAGCAGCTGATGGGTTTGAACCACTGACTCTTGTTTTGGGTCAGCAGTGGCCTCCTACTCACAAAGACAGCAACCTTGGAAGCCCTCTGGGGCAGATCTACTCTGTTCTATGGGATTACTATGAGTTGGAATCAACTTGATGGCTGTGGGTCTGGTTATTTTGTTGTTGTCTTGGAGGAGGGCTATAGGATTCTTGGTGATGTTTTCTGAATTTTTGCTTTTCAAAAATTGAATGTCAAATTCTCATCCTCCCTGAAGACTTAACTAGTAAATATATTTCCTAATGCATTCTTGGTGCCTCCAAGGCATCTTTTCAGAAAGAGCGAACCATGAATCCAGTGTTTCAGACTTGCAGCATGAGTTTTAAATTCAGCTATGCTAAGTCCTGGTGTGGCGTTGTGGGTTAATGCATTAAAACGCAAAGTCGGTTTGAACTGCAAGGTTGGTGGTTCAAGCTCACCAGTTGCTTCTTGAAACCCTCTACTGGGTCGGAACATATTCGACGGCACTTAACAACAACCACAATGCTTTATAAAGAATCTGATCTAACAGACTAGTCATGCTTGGGGAAATGTTCCTAACTGCCTATGTGAGAAAAACACACTGAACTGTGTGTACCTACTACAACCCCCATTTGTGAATGTAGGCAGGAAATGGACGCAAATGACCCTAATGCTTATACCTGAATTGTGGAGTTATGACCTAAGCACCATCTTTTTCTTCATTATATGTTTTATGTATCGACCTTGAGTGTGTAAAGAGCTCTGGTAGCGTAGTGGTTGCAAGTTGGGCTGCAACCTAACAACCTAACCTCAAGGTCAGCAGTTCGAAACTATCTGTGGTTCTGCGAGAGAAAGATGAGGCTTTTTGTTCCCGTAAAGATAGATGTCCAGCCTCAGAAACCCTATGCAGGGTCACTATGAGTCAGAACCGACTTCACAGCACGTAACCACCACCACCTTGAGCATGTATGTTTTTATAACAAAAAAAGTACTTTTAAAAAAGAAAATTAGTCACAAAGGAGAGGAGCTATCTCTCCGCCTTTTCACTGATTCAGGCTGATGTGTCCATTAGTTACGTTGTCAGACCAACAGCACCCTTAGTGGGTTGGCTTCCGTTCTGTATCCCCATTTCCCCATTATTCTTCTTTACATGTCTGAATGTTACATGCATATTGCTTTCACGAGACAAATGAGAGGTTTAGGAAAATGACTAATGTCAGCATGCAAGAGTGTGCAGTACAGTTATAAGAATTTATCTCTTAAAAAATGTGTGAGTGTACATATAGATGTATGTGTGTTTCTCCCCCCAGAAAAATATGCAGGAACCCATTGCTCTTCATGAAATGGACACAAGCAACGGGGTGTTGCTGCCTTTCTACGATCCTGACACGAGTATCATTTACTTATGTGGAAAGGTAAACCAGTCATTTCATTCAGAGTACATCGAATCCTGTCAGAGTGCTCCCATCAGAGACGTAGCACATGGGAAGCATATTGTTTCAATTTGCTTAATTTGTGTGTGGGTGGCTCTGTGGGATAAGCACTGGACTGCGAAACACAAGGTTTGAGCCCACCAGCCACTGCATGGGAGAAAGGTCAGGCTTTCTGCTACCATGAAGAGTTACTGCCTCGGAAACCCTGTACAGGGTTGTTGTGAGTCGGAACGGCCTCGATGGCACTTAGCAACAATAACAATGTGTGTGTGTTTGTTTAGAGCTATCATGAGGACAACTCTTATTGGTATGTTTTAGGCCTTGAGCGTGGAACTTTGGTAACATGTCAATGGCACAGTAGCAGCGGGCTGTGTTCAGCACTTTGAACAGAAGCAGAATTAGATGGGGCTGTGGGGAGATGCTTGTGGGACAACCTGCCCCCAGGGCTCTCTAGTAAGGAAGAGGATGCTGATGTTGGTTTTCACCAAGTGCGCTACAAGGTTGGTGATCTTAGAGTTTTGAGTTCCCGTGTGGGTGTCAGAGATGCGTGGCCCGTTTGCCACATCTAATGCTGAGATCTGCCAGAGAGCTTAGATTGGCAGGGTGGGTACTCAGCACCACATGGTGGGATAGACAATATTGAGAACCAACTGTGCTCTCTGGCTGTGAGATTTTTACGGCGACAGAGACCCACCAGTGGGTTCTTGTTCCTCGAGTTCGGTGTTAGGGCCCTGCCCTTGAAAATGTGTATACTGATTAGAATTTTAGGGAATGACAGTAGTTACAGGAAGACTCCACACTGGGTCCCAAAACCCTTTTCATGCCTGAGAATCTTTACCCAAGAGAGCTGCTGGTGGTCTGATGCTGAGGGTGAGGATAATGGTTTCCGTTTAGGAGCTGATGACCTCAATTCTGTAGTCCTCAGAATTTGTAGTGGTGGAAGTTTAGCTCAGCTTGTGAGGAATGGTCACCTAGAGCCATGTACTCTTTCTAAAAGCTGTCCACATGAGGTCACATTGACACCGGGAACTCTCACACACAGAGATATTGAGAAGACACGGTAAAAAAACAATGTCTTTACCTTGCTGGGGAAATGTTGGCATTCATGTGAAATGGCAGTTTGTGTGGTTTTCCCTCCTTTTCATGGCTGCGTGGGGCTGCCATGGACCTGCTTTACGTGTTTACTCCGTTACTTGGAAACAGAGATCTTGTCTGTTTCCTTGCAAGTCATTTAGTGCAGATGTTAACAGCTGTTGAGTACACATGCTTCCACAGTGTTGCCATGCACTGCATCAGAATGCACCAGGAGGGGGTTACCCAGATGTTAACCACAGTGAAGTAGGGGAGCTCATTTGTAGAAGGCAGAAAATAAAGAATGTGTTTTGCTTCTTTTCCATCACTTTAGGTAAATATGGCCACGGTAATTATATCATTTCCTTTCGTACACACTTCTCCCCAACACCACACAGGATTGCTGTTACTTCTTGGGTTGATGTAACCATGTAATAATAATTTCAACTTTGAGAGAGTATTACAGATTTCCAAAAACCCACCCATTCTAAGCAGGATAATCATAGAATTTTGCCCCTTGCAATGAGATAATAATACCTTTTGAAGTGAAAGGATACGCAATAAAATTCTTTATTAGGAAAAAACCTCATGGTTACTGTACTCTGATTAGCTGACATTAGTGCCCCTTGGGCCTTTGAATGGTGTGATGCAGCTGTGATGGCAACAGTAGTCGTGTTTCTGCTTTGACTAGAACCTGGCACCCCAGGGCAGATGGGAGCTTGGGTTTACAGGGCATGTATCATTGGGAGGAAGAGAAACCATCATACACATGAAACAAACCTCTTGATAAAGCAGAAAAGGTCAGCCACCAGAGAGGGTCCCAAATAATGTTGGATTTACAGGGCACGGAGAAACTGCGCTTCAACCAGATGCTTCTGTTGACATTAAGCACAAAGCTTGTCTCTGATTCCTTGTAGGGTGACAGCAGTATCCGCTACTTTGAAATCACGGATGAATCCCCATATGTCCACTACCTCAACACATTCAGCAGCAAAGAGCCTCAGAGAGGGATGGGTTACATGCCCAAGAGGGGACTCGATGTGAACAAATGTGAGATTGCCAGGTAAAGAATCGATACTCTCCAGTTTGAATTGTTTATACCCTCCATGGAATGTGAGAGTCCAGTCTTCCCACTCTTGTGTGTAGTCTACAATTCATACCTCTTTCTTGCTTGTATTCAGAAAGCATCATTGAATCCAGCAATGTCCCTCTTCATTATTCAGATTCTGTAACTCACGTACCGTGGTTACGGGCCTTGTTCAGATAGTGAGCCTTTCCTGAATTGTGTTCCAGCTGAGCTTGTTGCCAGTGTCTCCTAAAGATGAGCAGAGGATCTGCTGTCCCTCAGACAGAAATGAGGGCAAAGAACCAGGTTCCAAGCTGGATTCCGTGCTCCACCCATCCTAAGCTAGACAATCACCACTGACCACAGGGTGTGAAGTGTAGCTACACTCAGGAGGCTCAGCTGTGGCATTAATTTCTACCTCTGAACTTCCCTTGACTGGTTTGAAATGAATGCTTGGATTTGCTAGTGAGTTTCCTATTGGTCAGGCTTTTCCCTAGGTCAGTGAGCTCATAATGCTTGGTGACACCAGCCATCTGAAGGCACCCGAAGAGTTAGTGTCACTCCATCACATTAAGGGGGGGAGGATTTTATAAACAAAAAAATATTAATCATTATCAATAGTTTCTCTTGGTTTTGTTCTTAAAATACTCTCAACTCTCTGTGATCTGGAGTAATGAAAGAAAGCCATCACAGATAATCCAAAATTGGTTTAATTCAAATGAATCACAGTGAATTTAATCTGAACTTACTTTAGATTGTATCCAGTATTTGTGAACACATTTCTAAAAGTTTAAAAGACTATGATGCACAACAGTCCCAGGACATCGCCTCTTTATTGTATCCTGAGCGCTTAGTATGCGCTGGGCACGGAAGACAACAAGCCTGTGAATAGGGTTGATTCCCACTTTGTGGAGGCGGAACTTGAGGGCCTATAATAGTAGGTCTGAAGATCAGACCCAAGTCAGCCTTTCCCACCACTAGGCTGATGGCAAAGTTTTCCATCGGGTTTTCCAGAGATAAGTGGCTTCGCTGTGGTTCGTTCTGGCTGGCAGCATGACAAGGCTGGTTGACTTTACACTGTGTTTCTCACATGTCACTGCTGCTCTCAGGTTTCACTTCTCTGACACACTGGAGCAGTACTTGTGTAATCGCCAGGCTTCTGCTTGCATCGTGCAGCCCGTTTTCAATGCCAAAGGCCACCTGTTTCCAGATGAAACAAGTTTTCATTGGCTTTGGGCAGTGATAGCACTTCTCACGGAAGCTTGTGAATTCAGAGAGCACGGCTGCTGCTGTCCCCTGAATTCCTGCCATTCCCTGGTGGGCTGGCCAGAGCACTTTCCTCTCCTGCTCTGAACTCTCAGGGTTCCATATTCTAACAGAAAAAAAAAGCCAGCGTGGCCTTGTCCGTGTCTTCCGAAGAGCAGTGATCTCTGCTTTCATTGTTGAATGGGTTTGCTAAGCCCTGCTGTAGGACGTAGCAGACAAGTACCATGCCTTTGCTTTTCCAGTTAAGACGTGATGATTTGCTTCCCTGTGTCATGTTACAGTACAAGTTGTTTCACATTCCTACTCTTCTCACAGTTTGAAGCACTTCACATTTCTTGAGTTTTGCGCACCATGTGGTTTTCATAGTTCTTGGATTTGGTCTCTTTTCCTTTTACAGATATTTGGACTTAAAATACTCAACAACCTAAAGTTGGCATCCAAGGCATAGATACTACCTAATTTATAGGTGTTTGTTTTCTCTCATCTGTCAATGTGTTAGTTGTTTCACACATGTACCATCATCAGTGTTGTTATTTGCACCACAGTTGATCTGCACCCAGATCACTGGGATTTGTCACTGTAACTCACACACCTCTGCTTGGAGGATCTTGTCCCCAGTCTGCCATTTCCTACACTACTCTGGGCTTCTGTTTTCTCATTTGTATAATGGGAACATTAAGCACTTTGTACTCCCCAGGGCGATCAGATGAGGTGATGGGCACAGACACATTTCATACTGTGGTTCTTACTAGTCTTACTTGTCAGCCTCTTCTTTCACTTAATGTAACTTTTCCTTTATTTCCCCTTTGCAGATTCTTCAAACTTCATGAGCGCAAGTGTGAGCCTATTATCATGACTGTTCCCAGGAAGGTGAGTGCCCAGATTTACAGGCGATTCGAGTTTTTCAAAAAAATCCCAGACCTTTCTTCTTCCTGACTTAAGGACTCCCCACCACATCTCTTCTAGTCTGACCTAAGGACTCCGCTACACCTCTTCTTGTCTGACCTAAGTTCTCCCCATCACATCTCTTCTAGTCTGACCTAAGTTCTCCCCATCACATCTCTTCT